TGAGGGCATCTCAGCCCCGTCGCCAGGTTGTCAGATTCGAAAAAGAGAATAGAAGGGGAAAAAAACGGGCACACAGATCCGCCCGTGAAAATGGCCTGATGCATTCCCCTTAGTACCAGTGTGACGAGTGTTACAATCCTCTGACAAAACACAGCCTGAGCAGATCACCGACCGCTTGAGCAATTCACGGATGCCTGCGGATGCCCCCCTTCCTCAGTGGCAGGGGACTTAGGGCCAGATCCCACTGGCAAAGAGGATTGGAAGAAATGTCTGAATCTGAATCTGGACGTGTCTGTGGACAGGTGCGAAAAATTGTGATTGATATACTTTTCTGCCCCTCTGCCAGGAACACGTCCAGTTTCAGACATTTCTTCCAACACTCTTTGCCAGTGGGATCTGGCCCTTATAAGCCACACACGAGCAAGAAAAAAAAGACAACAGTAACATCCAGAATGTGTCCGCCTTACGGGTGAGGTGCATTCTGTGAAGGAAGACTCTGAGCACGGCCTCCAAGACTACCCTGGCCGACATCATTGCAGTAGAGATAGTATTTTCTTTTTTTCCTTTTTCTTTCACTTGCGGGCAATACAAAAATCTGATTTATGGGACAGTGCCGACCCTGTGTCCCACGCCCGATAACTTCGGGAACTGGCACAACATCGTAATTTCCCAACACTGGCGGAGGTACTATGTGAGATGATTTTCCTTACATTATTTTATTTTTAATTCAAATTATGTGAAGAATTTGGAAGTGACCCTCAGCAAAATGTTGTAACAGTTTGGTTTGCTATTCTGCACAACGTACTTTTTTTTTTTTTTTTTTTTTTTTTTGGGGGGGGGGGGGATATGGGCTGGGACCCCTCCCGGCCCAGTTGCCCGGCCGGTCGTCCCGGCAGGTCCCGTGACAGCTTTGGCGACCGGGGCGGCACGACTGGTAGCCCAGAAAAAAAACTCCATTTTAACGACAACACAGCTAAAGGTAACTCAAGGACAAATTGCGAAACGGGAAAAAAACTCAATTTTAACAAAAACAGGGCTAAAGGTCACTCAAGGGGACAAATTGCTAACTGGAAAAAAAACGCATTTTTTTAACGAAAACACAGCTAAGTACAGTTCGCCATGGTACGTTGTCAGTCAGCAGATTGCTCCCAAAAACATTCCTGTTCTTTATTTATTTTTTTGGATTTGTGTTGGATGTATCTGTGTGCTGAATTGCTGTGTTGTTATCAGGCGGTGGAGAGCAGGTGACCAACGCTGTAGTGAAAGGAGCAAAGGGGCTCAGCATGGGAGACCTTGCCCTGACAGAGTGAGTGCATACTATGGAGCTGCGTTGCACGACATTCGCGTTCGCCGGCGAATGCGAACACGTTCGGGCATGGAAATCCGGCGAATGTGAATGTGCTTTTTTTTTTTCTTTTTTTTCTTTTTTGTGATGTGGGGGGGATGGGGGGGGGG